TTGTAGCTTTCACTGTTGATGCTGTAGTACATCAAACACTGAATTTGGTAGCTTTTGTTTTTAAACGGTGGGTATCTTGTTTACCAAAGGAGTAGGATTTGTTTCTCTGAGGTGTAAAAATATTCTTTATACTTGGAGGACAACTGATACTTGAAAAAGTGTCAAATAAGTATTTTGCATGTGGCCGCTTTGATCTTTTGAAGTTCTGTAATTGGTATACTTTCCTAAAGTTATGTTATTTTTACAATTTGTGCTCTGTATCTCATGTCTTTGCTACCAGACAATTTGTAAGCTAATTTGTGGTGAGAAATTATTCCATCCACTTATTTCACAGTTAATCCATTTTGATCACATGAAAACTGAATTTAAAAATACGGAGCTGCATTTAAGAAGGGGAAGGAGATGGAGTAAATGTTTCGGTTTTGGGTTTTTTGTGACTGTCTTGGTTTACTGAGCCTGGCTCCCTCACTAGGTGGAGCTGTGTCCCAGCTCCTGTCTTGTAAGCTGAAGTAGCATGACTGTATTCACTGGCTTCAGATCCGAGGCATTAGATTATGTTTTAAGGAAAACTGAAATATCTGTGGAATTAGAACGGGATATTGCACTGTTAGTGGTGGCACAAAAGCAAAGTATTTGCTGTCAATATCCTTTTGAAGATGAGTACTTTGGACACTTGACCATTTAAAAAATTTTAACATGCATTGTTGAAGTTTATGAAGTTACAAAACGTGATATGTCAACTAGAGAGAGCATTGACTACTTAATGGTGCCATTTGAAAATTGTCATGAGTAAAGAATAATGCATGTTTTTTAAGTCATAGTTTCTCAACCACTTCTTTTTTAAGAACAAAACGTCTCCTGTCATTTGGCATGTGTAAACCAGTAAAGGTGTCTGTAGGGGAAAAAAAAGTAATTAACACCCTTTTCTTGTTTGTTTTTTCCCTTTCAGATTGTCCCACATGTTGTCAGTTTGGTTCACTCCTTCAAAAGAGATGGCTTACCTTCCAGTACAGCCTTTTTGATGCAGTTGACTGAGTTAATACACTGTATGATGTATCATTATTCAGGATTTCCAGAGCTCTATGAACCTATTCTGGAAGCTGTTAAGGTATATTAGGAATATTAAGAGAGTGGAATGTTTTGGGTTTTTTTTTTCCTGCTTTCCCAAACATGAAAGCTCTACTTCTATAGATCTAAATTCTTTAGAACTTCTGTAGGAGAGAAGAGCAAACCACATAATCTAAGGTCCTTTCTAACTGTATTGGGAATATGTTAGAAAAATTGTTCTGAGTGTCCATGATACAATTATAGCAGCCTTTAACAAAAGCCTGAAATTAGTTCTTTTATTAAAAGTACACTCTAATTTTTTAAGCCTTATGTAGCTATTAATATGCTTTAGTGAGGCTTATCCTAGGCATTTCATTTCAACCCAAGCTAGAAACTGTAACTCTTCAAATATAAATTCGGAGCACTGAAACTATTGAAGAGAAGTAGGTTCTGAGGAGTACTTGGCATACTGTTAATTTTTGACTAGCCTCAAAACACTGTTGCTAAGTACTACATCTTAATACTGCAGTGGGTATTGCATGCCTCTGGGTAAAGGATGATGGCCTATGATGTTTCAAATCAAAATTTGGCACTTTTTTAGATAAATAAGTTCATAATGCGCTTAAAAAAAATAAAAATACTCTGAAACAAGTAAAATGAACTTGGAAAATAAATACAAAATGAAAAAAAAAGAGTCAGATATTACTGCCTGATTTTTATAGCAGTACTATTGCAGTCAAATATTTTGATGCTTAAAAAGCCTCTTTCAAGTCAATTCAAAGAATTCTGGACTTTATTCTTTCTTTCTTACATTTTGATTTGACCGCAGCAACATACTTCAAGCAGAGTAGAGGATACTTTAGGTGTCTGTTAAAGCTTGTAATTCGAGGGTTCTGTGAATATGCAGGTCAAAGGTAACAACCAGCTCCTTATTCCTGCAATTTGAGAGTTGAGTAAAACCAGACAGCTTTGAAGAAGGTGGCTGGGGGTGGGTAAGAGAGGGGGATGCATCTACTACACTGTTGGAGATAGCAAGTAAAGATAAGATTGCTGAATCAGAGGACCTATTGTAAAAACAAGTACAGTTTTTTGTGTGTTAAGTGTGTGTGTGTTAAATGTTTCTCTTGTAGGATATGCCCAAACCCACTGAAGAGAAGATTAAGTTGATTCTCAGTCAGAGTGCCTGGACTTCACAATCCAGTTCTTTGCCATCTTGTTTATCTAGACTTTCTGGAAAATCTGAAACTGGGAAGACAGGCCTAATTAATCTAGGAAATACTTGCTACATGAACAGTGTTATTCAGGCACTTTTTATGGCTACAGAGTAAGTCTTTTTAAACAGTTCTTTTCAGCAACTCTTTTCATTGCAAATTAGCTACCACAGTTGTGGCAGTCTTGCTTTACACAGAATATTAACATGTCCTGGGGTGTCTCAGCTTTGTGTAGCTGAGTGGGTTTCTTTGCACTCAGTTACTGATTGCTTTGCTGAAGTCCAGCTCTGTGAAACTGCAATTTTAGCCATTAAAAATCCTGATCCTTCTGTCCAGTGTCAAGTCCCTTTTTCCTCACTGTCCGTGCTCCCTTGAGTACCGTTAAAATTTATGGTGATGCTTTTCTTATAATCTGGAAGCTGTTGAGAAAAAAAATCTGTCTACAGCCCACTCTTACACATTTAAATGTTTAAAGGAATGGGGATTTTGCAGTGCTAGTTCCTACCATACAGTAGTTTTGTATCCAGGTATTGAAGGGAAGCATTATGTGTTTGCTTTTTACTGTACAGTAGTTTTGTATCCAGGTATTGAAGTGTTACATATTTGCTAATTACCTGAGCTGCAATGATAACTGCATTGTTATTGGAAACCTACCAGGGACCCTCATGTCTGTCTGTCTTTTTCAGTTTCAGAAGACATGTTTTATCTCTGAATCTAAATGGGTGTAATTCACTAATGAGAAAATTACAGCATCTTTTTGCATTTTTGGCCCATACCCAGGTATGTCAGTTCACTTCATCTGCTGGTTTTTAAGCACAGATCTGTATACCAAAATTTAGGAACAAACATGATGCCGTGGGAGTCCTCTTGACTATATTGGAAATACAAATATGATATACTTGTAGGGGAATGAGTCCCTCCAAATGTTCAGGTGGTGTGGATGGACTTGGAGAAATCTGTTTCATAAGTGGAACGTCATGGTACTGTGTCATTTTTATAAGTGGGCAGTAACAGACTTTTTTTGAGAAGCCAAGTGAAAAAATCCAAATAAGAACTGACTTGATGTACAAGCTGACTTTATGTAACTTTCTAGGATAAATTGTGACTTTCTGCAATGATTCTTAGACTAAATTTCAGTGTAGTTCAAATTCTGAAGTGAACTAAAGTTCATTCTAAAGTTCAGAATATTTGCTAGCGCTAGGAAGATGTAAGACACTGTGCTCTTTGACTAATAACAATAAACTTGTTGTGAAGGGGATGAGGCTGGATTACCTTAGAATAAATTGCTGCTTATGAAATACTGGTGATGTTTTGAAGAAAGAAAACCTTTTTTTTTTAAGCTTGTGAGCCAGAACAGTAACTGCTATTACACCTAACATCTGGTTTACACTTGCTACACATTTAATATTTGCCTGCAGGATCCACTGCTTGTATCTTTGTACTAGAAGTGATTACTACAAAATTAAAGGGTGTCTCTTCCTATGATTAAGTGGCTTAAATGTTTGTATACTATGTTTCATATGGCTCCTCTAGAACAATGTACTCTGAAGTTCAGTGGTCAGTATCAAAAGTAATATAACCAGTTTTGAAAGTAGTTCTTATGTAACCTTGTCTGTCTCTCTCTTATACCAACAGAGGGAGGCATATGCTCCTAGAATTTTCTTCGAGGCTTCCAGACCACCATGGTTCACCCCTCGATCCCAGCAAGATTGCTCAGAGTATCTTAGATTCCTGCTAGACAGGTACAGTTATTGTGCCATGAATGGGAATGAATCTACCCTCTTATCACATAATGCTGAACTCTGGGGGGCAGTCATGTAACAGTTCTACTGACTTAAGTGGGGACTAGGAATTTTGGGCCTCTGGTTTTCTGTGTGGTCTGAAATGTTTTTCATGGGTTTAATCTGTGGTAAAGTATGGATACCATCCTGTACCCACATCATGTAAAGCAGGTTATAGTGGTAGTAATGTTCCATTCTTAGAAATCTAAACTTGGGTGTTATGTTAGTATCATGGTCCTGTTGTAAAATTAATGTGGTTGCTGAAAGCTGTGTAGTTGTGCATTTGGAATTTCATGTTGGAAGAGAGCTGTATTTTATACAGGTTGGATAAATCATGAAGAGATGTACATGCATTTATAACCAGTTTAAGAAACAAGCAAATTAACCGTGGCACAGATAAAAATACCTAAATTTATTAGTAGTCCTCTTCTATTTTGCCTGAGATGCAGATTAAGAAAAAAAAAAAATTGCTCAACTCCCCCCTTGCTCCTCTATCTTGGGTTTCTTTTTTGGTTTGTTTTTTCTTGCTGTAGTTTCTTAACTTTCTTGGCTACGAAATCCTGACCTTTTCTTTGGAGTAGTCTGGCACTAGATAAATAGCTACTTGTTCTCTTACAAAATCTGACATACAGAACCAGTCAACTGGAGAAGTGATTTATTAAGATAATGTAATGGTAAATAATAAAAACATTGTTTGTGAGGTGGTGGTGAGTTTTTTTTGTTTGTTTGTTTGGGGGTTTTTTTGGTTGTTTTTTTTTTTAATACTTGCTAGTTCTCAGTATATCCATTGTGTTATATTACATATAATGAAGCCCACATTAAATGCATTTGTGCTTCTCTCATACTCTTTTGGATAGTACTGACCTGTATGGTTGAGCTTGCTTATAGCAACTTCTTAAATGCAAGACACTTCTAGCCACTTCACCATCTGTATTTTTAACCATAACTGGAAAAAAGGTCTGAAATGGTGCAGCAATATTTGTTTGGAAAACGGCACAGCTTCTTGGATTTATTTTTCTTTGTCTTCAGGCTGCATGAAGAAGAGAGAACCTTGAAAGCACTGTCTTCAGTAAAGACTTCAGAAAATATAATGAATGAAGAGTCCCAGACACAAGAAGCTGATCATAAAGCACAAGTATTTGCACCTTATACAGGAAGCGAAGAAAGAACTCTGATAGAGAAGATGTTTGGAGGAAAGCTGAGGACTACTATATGCTGTTTGAACTGCAAAAGTATGTCTCAAAAAGAAGAAGCTTTCACAGATCTCTCTCTGGCTTTCTGTCCTCCCACTTCCTTGGAGAATATTGGCCCAAAATGCATGGAAAGTTCTGAAGTGAAAGACGATTACATGGTGCAAACTAACACTTTAGCAACTAGTCCTGCTGGAGAAACACCTCTCAATAATTTGGAAGTAAATGGTGGATGTGACACAATAATGAATGAAGGAACCCTAAAAGATTTTTCTATTGAGCCAAACTCTGAGAATACCACAAATTCTGAACTCAACAAAGTTCAAGATAATAGGGATACGTCTCAGAGGCTAGTAGGTAAAAATACTCTGTCAGTTACAGACTTACTGAATTATTTTCTGGCACCTGAGATCCTCAGTGGAGACAATAAGTATTATTGTGAAAAGTGTGCCTCTCTACAGAATGCTGAGAAAACTATGCAAATCATCGAGGAACCTGAATACCTCATTCTCACTCTCTTGAGATTTTCATATGATCCAAAGTGTCATATAAGGCGCAAAATCTTGGACAATGTTTCTCTGCCACTTGTTTTGGAACTACCACTCAAAAGAACATCCTCTTTAGCTGTAGATCCAGGAATTTGGTCTGCTGGTGTTGAGATTTCTGATACTGGAGAAAATCTTGCTAAAAAGCTGAAGCCCTCAGGTGCTGATGAAGTGACCTGCCCACAATTGGTGCCCTATACATTAAGCTCTGTGGTGGTGCATTCTGGTGTATCCTCTGAAAGTGGACATTATTATTCATATGCTAGAAATGTTACTGGGTCAGGACTCTGCCACCAGTCTACAGCTCTTTCTTTAGTTTCTCCTCAGGATAAGTTGTTGACAGAGGAGAGTCCTTGTACTGTTGTAGAAAATGAGCTGGACATGGAGATGCCAAGAGAATGGTTTCTGTTCAATGATAGCAGAGTGACATTTACCTCATTTCAGTCAGTCCAGAAAATTACCAGTAGATTTCCAAAGGACACCGCTTATGTTCTGTTTTACAAAAAACAGAACAGCACCTGTGGCTTCAACACCAATTCAGCAAATGGACTCTGGGTAAATGGAGACCCACCCCTACAAAAGGACCTCATGGATGCAATTACAAAAGATAACAAACTGTACTTGCAGGTAAGATGGAAATCGTGTATGAAGACTAATCTCCTTAAAACTTACAAGACAGTCTAAAAAAAAAAAAGGCTTTAAATATTCTGGTATATTAACATAAATCAGCAATCTCGCCTCCGTCTTGATACAGCTAGACAGGTTTCATAGTAGAGTGGTCACCATTAGATGGGAAGCATCAAGGAACATGGCTTAAACTAATTTCAGTTTAAATTTTTAGTGGAGATGCTCTCATGGGTTGTTCAACCATTTGTAGTTCTATGCAGGAAAGACTTCAAACAGTTCTGATTTTCATTAGCTTTACTTTAGCTACTCTTGTAATTTATTATAGTTGCTTTGCTTTGAGCATCATTACTATATTTGGATGGTGTAACAGTAAAAGTGTGTTTTGCTGTGTGCCTTTTGCTGGGATAACCTGTTCCTGTGAGAGTTGTCTGCCTACTCAAAGTAGAAAAACTAGGTAAATTGAAATTGAAAACAGCTAAATCTCACTGTGGAAAATCTGTTAATAGCTGTAGGTATTTACAAACATAAGAGAACTGAGAGTTCAAATTGCAACTCTGCTGCTGTTTTCAGACTATGATTAAGGCATTTGTGTTCCAACCATCTTTGTTTATATGCCACTTCTTCCTGACTACAGTGTAAGAGAAATGTGGCTTCTTTAGCAGCAGTTGCAGATCATAGAATCATAGAATAGTTTGGTCGGAAGGGACCTTTGAAAGTTGTTTAGTCTAACTCCACTGCAGTGAGAAGGCACATCTTCACCTAGATCAGGTTGCTCAGAGCCAATCCATTCTGCTCTTGAATGTTTCCAGGGAAGGGTCATCTATCACCAATATGGGCAACCTGTTCTAGTGTTTCACCTCCCTCACTGTAAAAATTTCCTCTTTATATCTAGTCTAGATTTACCTCTTTAAGTGCAAAACCATTACCCCTTGTTGTATTGCGACAGGGTCCATATGTTTCTTCCAGTGTTGGTGCCCACGGATGAAAGAGGACAGTAAAAAATAACCTGTGTCCCAGATTGCGTTACCAATTGTCCCAAGGCCCTGAAGTCTCTTTGGATTACATGTTACAGCTTCATAGCTACACAAGTGGAAGAGCAGTAATGGGTAATAGTCTGAGGGCCATACCAGGCTCGGAAGTTTCCTAGAGATGTTCTTAACATGGGGCCTAGGGAGGCAGCAGGTTTCCCTAAGAGGAGGGTCTGTCCAGCATACTGGGCCCTCTGTTCCCATCAGAAGGCAGTTGTCTACAACTTTAAAGTAACTTTTCTTTCTCATGGAGGTGGTTTGTGGTATGGGGCATAGGCTTTTCTGACCATCTCTGGTGTAGATGGACTGTCATCCATATCATCCATTGACTGGCCTTCCACAGCCAGAGCCTCATGCCTTTTCTACAGGGGCACCTGAGAAGGCAAGGGGGGCAAGAAGGGGGTTTGTCTGTGCACGTGCCTCCAAAATACTGTCATGCTTTCAGTCAGAATCACTGTGAGTACCATTGATGCATAAATGCTTTAATTGAAATTTCCAACTTAAAGACAGATTCATTTTTTGAGTGTAGTTGAGGCAGCATCTAGGTAATTGAGGAATGGGAGGAAAAAAATGGGGAAAAAGAACACAGTCTGAAGAAGAGTAGTACAACTACTACAGTGATACTTAACCTTTTTTTATACAAAGCCAACATTTAAAGGTGGAACTTGTCATCCACTCAGAATATAAATCCTAGCAACTGTTCTTATTTGTGTATGTGGTGGTTGAATCCAGTGTCTGCAGTGACATATTTCACTGCTGTCAACAGGATAGGTGATTACCTGAGTATGTTTAACGGAGGCTTTTTTTCAAATCTGAAGAAATGCTTTAGCCATCTCTTCAGATTTGAGTGATGCTTTGGGAACAAGCAACACCATCAAGATACTAAGAAATTAATTTGTTAAATAATCAAGCTATTCATAAATAGATTTCTCTGAATTAACATTTTCAAGACCGTTTGATGGGATTTCTGGAATATGCTATGAAGTTAACTACTTGAACGCATAGCAGAAATTTTATAAAGCACAGTCATTTTCTCTTGTAGCTTACCAGTGAAAGCAAAATTATAGTCTCCTGGAAACCTTTAGTTTGCAACTAAAAGAAAAAAATAATAGTCTCCTCAAAATGAAAAAAAAGGAAAAAAGAAAAACCCCACCAAACACCTTCCCCAACACCCCCTACCCCCCCAGAATAAACCAAAACCAAACAGAAAACCCCCAGGCATATAGTGTTTGTTTAGGGGTTATTTTGGGGGGTTTTTTTTAATTTATTATTTTTACCCACATTTCAATTTTGAATACTTCCATTTTGGCTTTCTTTGTAGTGCTCTACTAATCTCAGAGTTGTTGAGATCTTGTCGTTTTCTCACTTTAAATGAGGCTGATTAGAAGTGCTTAGTTATTTTTTTCAAGTTAGCGCTAGTATTGTAATTGTGTTTTTGAGAAGTTGTGTTTCATCATCCTGCAGAATTCTAAACCAGTTAAGCATATACTTTTCTGTCCTGAGAAAGCCTTTACTTTTTCAAAGAAACCTTCCCAAAATCTTTAGCTTACTACTTTTGTTTTACTATTGCATACCACTTTGCCACATGGTGAAATAAAACATTTTTATTTTAAATAACAAAACCTGCAATATGGGTAGCTGCCACTCCAGTTAAAACAAATTAAAAATCCCATGATGGAAACAAGTGGAAAGCAGGGGAGGGTGGGGAATCCTCTGATGCTTTGTGTTATTCTCAGTCCAGAGAACTGTATTGACTATGAAGTTTTACTTACCTGATCTAGTATATGTTGGAAAAAATACACTCAGTCTGAAAACATTCATAATTTTTTTAAGAAATAAGGATGTTTCTTGGAAAAAGAAGCTAGTGCTGGATGCTATACTAGAAAAATTTAATATAGGTTAGTATTAATCAACTCAGTATGTGCCTTGAGAGAAGAAAGAAATGTGCTCATTTAGCACAAACTACTGAATGGGAATAAAGCATGAAACATCTTAAACTGCTAAATAATTTAACCTTTAGCATTAAGGATACAAATATTGTATGGATTTTAGAGTTTCTTGACAGAGTATTAGTATTAATAATCGATAATTTGGTCACTGCTCCATATTTCTCTTGTGTGTGTGCTTACATACTCTCCATTAGAGAAAATGTTTTGTACATGGTAGAAATTAAGCTAAGATCAGGACTGAGGTTTATTTTCTCAGTGCATTATGGCTGCTTCTGAACAGTATTTCTAGGTGGTTGACAAAAGCTGTGCTTGCAGCTCATTTACACTCTATACTGAATGTGGTGCATGTCTCCAGAGGTGAGCCATCCCTTGAACTTAAGTCACGTGCAAGGCACTGTGCTGTTGCTGTTTGTTGTCGTGCTTCTCTTCTCTCCTTGTCCCCTCTGTAAGGAAGCCTAGTGACAGTGGAACAATTTTACTGTTGTTAACGGTATTTTGAAAGGTATGTAATAAGGACATACATAAAGTAATTTGGCTGCATAGCTATGCCAAAACCTCATGCTATTCAGTAACTGTGGTAAGGCAAATTCAGTCACGTTTCTAGCTAAATCTGGCAAAAATACCCAACCAACCAAACTTTAGCTGTTAGACTCTAATGGTCTTTTTGTTTACAAATATAAGACCTTTACTTAACATAGCGTAACCTGCAAACCTGTTATTGATGCTTACATACATCTGTAGTACAGTTTGTTAGGTAAAACTCAACTGTTGACGTTTAAGAGGTATAAAGTTGCCAGAAAATACTTCTCTGGAGGGGTGAAAGTGAAGGAGGGAGTAAGGAGGAAGAGGGAGTAAGGAAAACTCCATTTTTTTGTTTGATACTTTGCTGCTTTTAAACATTTTTCATAAATATTTTACCAAAGAAGCCAAACCAGCCCAGGTACAGTGTAGCCAGTCTCCCACTGTTTGCTTTTGAGAAGAAAATCTGTCCTGTATTAAGCAGTTTTGCAGTGTAGTTTTTTAATTAAACAGGCTATTTGGAAATTTTGGAAACTGTCGTGGTTCAACCCCAGCCGGCAACTTGGAACCACGCAGCCGCTCGCTCACTCCCCCCCTTTTCCTTCCTCCCCCCGCTCCCGGAGGGATGGGGAGGAGAATCGAAGGAATGTAACTCCCACGAGTTGAGATAACAGCTCTCCAGTAACTAAGGTATAATACAAACCACTACTGCTACCAGTAATAATGATAAGAGGAATAACAAGGGAAAAGGACACAACCGCTCACCACCCGCCGACCGATACCCAGCCCGACCCGAGCAGCGATCTGGGCCTTCCGGGTAACTCTCCCCAGTTTATATACTGGGCATGACGTGCTGGGGTATGGAATAGCCCTTTGGCCAGTTTGGGTCAGGTGTCCTGCCTCTGCTTCCTCCTGGCTTCCCCTCCTCTCTGGCAAAGCATGAGACTGAGAAAGTCCTTGGTCAGAGTAAACATTACTTAGCAACAACTAAAAACATCGGTGTTATCAGCGTTGTTCCCAGACTGAAAGTCAAAAACACAGCACTGCACCAGCTACTAAGAAGGAGAAAAAATGACTGCTGTAGCTGAACCCAGGACAGAAACAAGTATGCCTTTCAGTCATTAGTAGCGTAAAATGGTTTCAGACTTAGGCTGTTTTTCTAAGAGGGCAGAGTAATTTAAACCCACAAGTACTATTTTTAGCACCTGTGAAAGTACATGGACAAGACTAAGTTTAGTGCTTTCATGGTTGTATAATACAGTCTTCCAGGTTCTTGGCTCTGTTCCTTGCTTTCACCAGGAGGTGGAGAAGAAAAGGAACAATTCAAGGTGACCCATGTAATTACTAAAATCCTGTTAAAATTTCCTCCCTTTCCCTTTAGGGAGGTATGTAGTGATGAAGTGTCATGTGAAGGAGGCTGTTGGTATTGAGCCTTACCACCTGGATACTTCTATTTTGTTTCCTAAAGAAACAAAGCTTGTACAGGTCTGCTGTGTTTTTTCTTGTCAGTATTCTGGAGCCTAACACCTGCCTTCAGTTTTTGAAGCTCTTGACTAGTTTGAGAAAGGGATACTTAAGAAATTGCTGCAAGGTGTATGAAGCTAGCTGGCCAGAGACAAAGTAGTATGATACCTCTAATGAGGGAAAGCCTGTGCTCATCCCCATCTTAGATGTCTGAGAAGCCACAGGGGCATTCAGCTGAAAAAGCAGCTGCCAGGAGCCTGTGATTTCTTGGTCCTGCTACTTGTGCAGGTACTTTTTTCAGCAGCTGATCCTGGTTTTTATGGAGTGCTTGAGAGTTCCTTAGTCTTACTAATGTTAAAAAAGAGTTAGCATAGCAGTAAGACTTGAAAGTTAAAAAGCTGCACTGAATGGAAACTAAATAGCTTTCCATCTTTTTGCATTTTTCTGAGTATGTTGTTACTCTATGCAGTTGATTGAATGGAATGAAAAAAATCTTTTAAATAATTAACATTTGTCTTACCTTTCTGTTGGGCAAACAAGAACAAGGGCATCTTAAAATTGATAGGATGAAAATTCATGTGAAACATGTATCAAAAGCTAATGTTTTGTTAGCTTTTGATCATCACTCTTAATTCTTTAGTAACATCCCATGTTTCTATAAAATACAATTTTAGCATAAACTTAGATGGATTTAATTATGATGCACATATACTTAGGTTCAACAAAATTGCACATCTTGGGTTGGCTGTGGATGTTCAACCTGAAGTTCAACAAAGCCATGTAGACTTAGGAGCCCAGAAGTTAGTGATGTAACTTTAAAAACTGTTTCAAAATTTACTGGAAATAAGGTGCTTCAAGGACTTGAAGTTGTTGGTGTTTAAATTCTCTTTTATTCTTCCATTTCAGGAGCAAGAGCTTAGTGCTCGAACACAGGCACTTCAAGCTGCCTCAGCTTCATGCTCTTTTCGACCCAATGGATTTGATGACAATGACCCCCCGGGAAGTTGTGGACCTACAGGTGGAGGAGGAGGGGGTGGGTTCAATACTGTTGGTAGATTAGTGTTTTGACTATGAAGACACCCTGGAATACACTGGTTCCAAAGCAGCTCTGTACTGCTGAGGACAACTAAAATAGTGAACTTTGTCAGATATTGTACTAAGTTCTGAGACTTGATCTTTGTTTCAAAAGCAAATGTTGGGGGCTTTTTGGTTATGTTTTATTTGAAATAAATAAGCGCATAATGGAAAAAACTACCTCTTTAAAATTCAGTTGCTTTTATAGTAAGATACACTTGCCCTAAAGACAGAAAATGGAGATTTTTAAGTAGTTGCTAATGATACTGCATTGAACTGAATGCATGCACTTACATCAGTTTCTATTTTCCTCCTCCACTGAATGAAGAACGTTCGTCTTTTTGCTCTGACGGGATTGCTTTATGTGGAAATCCTTTCAGATGTGCTAAACTGCATACATAGTCTGTCACCTCCACTTTATTTTCAAATCCAGTATCCATGGATTACCAGAGATGATGCAATTTATAACGAAGGCAATAACTTAAATGTGACATGATACAGTACTTTGCAGGTCAAAAATTATTCAATATATTTCCAGTGTAAATGTCAGGAAGAAAAAATAATTTATAAATATTTGCTAAGTTGTTTTCCAAAAAAGTGCATGTTCTGTAGGAACAATGTTTTTAAATAGAAATTGTTAACTTTGTAGCATTTCTAATTGTTTTGAGGATTTTAAAATTATTTCAGGGGATATATCTGCTGTGTATTGGAAAGGAAGAGATTCTGTATGTGCCTTGCAGTACTGTAATTTAAAGCAAACTTTCTGAGGCTGCAGAAAAGGGGAAAAATGAGTTATTTGGGTGGGGTTTTTTTGTCAGTATTAGAAATCAGTATGCTTATAGAAAGCTATTAGGTTTCTAGCAGTACAGGTCTGGTAGTTGGAAAAGGAGTATGTTGTCCCTTATTATTTTGATTTTGAAAAAGTACAAACCTAGTGATCCACAACTTTAGTAGCCTACGTTGCCAATAAAAGGGTGGTCATAAATACTGAGCTATGTTTGTGAAAAGAGAGGCTACCTGTATTGATCCTTGCTGAGGATCTCTGCCTCTAAGAATCCTCTGAAGTTTTGGCTTCTGATTTTGCTTGTAGTGAGAAATTTCTGGTGAGTTCAGGTTTTAACTGTCTACAGAAGACCAAAATGATGCTGTCCATGGTGCAGTGTTGGCTTGCTTGTTAGGCCAGCAGAGGTTGAGGATCCACTCTCCGAAGTCGTGGCGAAAGTAGCAACTTATGTTTTGATGTGCAATGAGGGTAACAGAAGGAGTTACACTGTTGAATCTGGTGATTAATTCTTAACTTGAATAAACTTTCAGTGAAGTGTAAATTTATTTAAAGTATTTTTACAAAATTCTGCAGTTTTACTGTGTTTTTATATTCTACTGGGTGACAGAGTGCATCCTTAAAAAGCATGCAAACCTGGCAGGTGTTAGCTTAACTGTACAAAATAGATTTCTTAGAAAATGCCTTTTAAAAGCATAAAATAAGTTGAAAATTAAACCTTGCTTATATTAAATATATGGGCTTACTATGAAAGATAACTTAGCTTGCAAGCTATTTTTATATTATTACTAAAACTATGCTGTTTGTTCTGCTATATGTTCAGATACTACTGCTCAAGAATGCTAGAGCAGCTCAGATTCATTTTTCTAAGTTTCCAAGCTGTGCTTTGACTTTAGTACCTTGGCTTTGACCTACGCTTTTCATTGCTATCTCAGTTGTAGGTCTCTGAATCTGGGGGTTCAGCTGTGGAAATGTCAAATGTTATGAGCAAGTGTGAGGAATGTTCTCATTTTGTTGTGCTTGGACGAGGTTTTCTTGAAAGCTCACTTTGCTTTGAAATTCTGTAACTATCAATCTAAGAGGGTTTTTTATTTCCTTTCAGGCTTCTCTGCCAGTTAGCTCTGGTTTCAAAATGTTTTGTATAACAGGTTAATTTGGCTTTTCCACTTTATGAGGACACACTAAAACGTTGTCTACTGTTCGCATTACAATGGGAATATTTTGTGTCTTTGTATCAATTTACTGTTCATTTTAAAACACTAGTAAGTAGAAGTGGTGGCAAGTGTTTTTACTCTAAATGAAATCATAAGTTGGTAAAGTTCAGCTTTGGTTTTATGTTCTCACAGTGAAAATACAAATTATGTAGCCTACCTAAAAATAATGTGCAGTATGAGTTTTGTATACCTATTGTACTATATTTAATTCATGAGATCATAGAAGGCTTTCTACACCCTTGTTTGCCTGTTCTAAATTAGGTGTTAAATATGGAAATTTTGAGTAATGCCAGTAGGGTTGGATCTCCTTATGTATAAATTATGGTATGTCTGAAACTGAAAATAACTTCTTCCCTTCTCCTTGCTGACTTCTGTTGATGCAGTTACTTTGGGGTTTATGAATAGACTTTAAAATTCAGAATACCTATTTGCAAGTCTGCTTGCTGACCTGACAACCATTGTAGGCTGATTCAGACCTAACTTGGAAGGTTTCAATAAAACTAGTGAAAGTGGAGAAGTTTCCTACTTTAAAATGTACACCTTTTCTCATGGTTTACAGTAATGATGTTGCATGCTCCTGTCTTCTGGACATAATACGAGATCAGTGTACATACGGTACTTCGATTTCTGTTTCCTGTGAATGAATGCTGGATGATTTGTTTATTGACTCCATTCTTTATTTGTTTTCTATCTTAAGTTGAATCAGTAAAAAGATACAAAATACATAATACTGTTTCTGAAGCATAGGGGTTTTTCTTGTTTCCTTTCATGAAGGATATGCTATTGTACCAAACTCAAGGATGTATTTTTAAAATTCTTTTTCCTTTCAACTTTTTGTTTTAGTGATCAGTGGAGTTGTATTAACTTTCTTTGATACAGTTCACTTTGTACAGTTTTTCTCACGTGGAGCATTACAGTGGACTGCTGTGAATCTCTCCCCTGTAACAAGTGGTTACAGTATCTACAAGCTCATTTATCCAGGATGAGGAGAGAAAAGGCTTCTTTGGAAGCTCCTTTTCCATCCTTTCCACCTCCCTGTTGTTCCTTACTCTAGAATGTTAAATATGTTATCTTCTGTATGCTCTGGAAGTTTTAACGGGTAAGCTTTTTTTTTTTTTTGATCTGTAGCATTATAGTTGTTTATGGAGTCAGAATATTACTTTTTTTTCTGTATGAATGTCAAGGGGAAGGGCAGAAGTACTCCGGGCTAAAGGAGTGTTAGAACAAAAGCAAGTGGGTATAACTTTCTGTAAATAAGATTTAGATTAGAAACAAAGTTCCTAATTACTAGAACTAATTCTGGAACAGCCTTCCAGGCAGAGACCTGCTTTGAAGGAAAAGCCAAGTATGTCTATGAAACAAATTAAATGCAAAGTGGTGTCTGAATAATAGGCAACTAGACTTGATAAACCAGAGGTCCTTTCCTAGAGTTTTCTTTTGGGCTTCTCATTGAGCCACGTTGCCAGTTTTCTTTCTAAGGCTCCAAGATTAAAGTGTAAATGAGGGGAATGCTAAAAATGACGTAACAACAAAGATTGACTGCTCAGTTTTGGGTGGTGTTGGTCCCTGATTTAGGGGAGCGAGGCATAAAAATTACGAAGTGATAGAAATCGAAAGCTAGAAAGACTTGTAATCCAAGGAAACTGTCCCGTTCCTAACACGGGCAATTCCCTGGTTAACAGCGTACTATGGGATATACAATGGATTGTAGCCCTTGGTATCCTTAGGCTGTAATCAGATTTAAATTATTGGACTTCTTCAATGTTTTCGAATGATCTCTGATTTAAACAAGAGATCAGATTACATGATCTTAAAAACTTTCATGTTGCCTACAGCCAGGTATCAGAGGTCTACCTTAATCTGAATTCATGGCTGAGTAATATGCTCTTAAATCATACAGGTGTCAGGTCAGGTGTAAACAGAACTAGCCAGAGTGAAGCAGAGATGGATGGTTTTAAGTACGATATGCTGCTTTCTTACTTAAAACAGAAGTATTTTTCTAAGTCTGCTGGATTCTAGGCAGGTATGTGGATTCAGGATACACATTTCTTGTTCCTTGTTTTTTCCAGTGCAGGTAATATTTTTAGGAATCAGTTGTAAAAGTGCTGGAATAGGCATGTGAAAATGCACAACCTTCCATTGCAGCCTTGGTAAACAGCATGCCACCACATGCACTGCAATGCTGGGATACATTCTGGGTGGTCATTTGAGACCTTTACCTTAATCTGCATCTGGGTGGCCAGAGGCCGCCACCCTGTGGTGTCTTCTCAGCGTTTGTGTCTGCAGCAGGGGCCACAAGAGGAGTCTGAAGTGTTGAGGTGCTAGCTCAAGTGGGGCACGGTCCCCAAACCCCTCAGCAACATGCCAAGGCCCAGAGTGTGTAGCTCAAGGACCCCTTGCATCACTGACAGAGACCAGGTGGCAAGCAGCAAGCAGAGGTTGTGTAGTTTCACATGGGGATGGGGTGGGGGCTGGTGAAGGAGAAGTGCTGGTGCAGGACTAAAATGAGACTACCAAACTGCAAAAAGGAAAGGATAGCTCTAATCTGATTTAGAAGTTGTGTATGTTTTAATGATAATTTCATATGTATGTGATACAAAGTTGTAACTTCAGTGTAACTCCACCAAAGGGTTCTCTGTCAACAAGGCTTTGTTGTCCAGGCCTCATCTTTCTAAAATTTCTGTTATATCGGCATGCCTGAGTGGAAAAAAAGTCTTCATGGGCGTATTGAAAACATGAAACATGCTGCTTGAGGAGGGTGTTTCGGACTGACAGTAAAAAAATAAATTCAGAAACAGAATGGTGCTAGCAATTATGATTGGGTTAGCAGCTGTAGTATCATACAGCATCCTCAAGGCCAGTGGTCTCTGAACATTTTTTGATTGCACACCCCATTAGGAAAAACTTTAAGTGTGCACCCAGTATATGTATATTCCTTCATTTATAATATATTGTACTACTGTTCTAAAATGTACGTGCACGAGAGTAGAAATTGAGAAAGTATGAGATAAAGATGAAATAAACACTATTTTTAAATTACTTACAAATCTGTTTATTAATGGTATAAAATATACTTTCTTCTTGCACCCAGATGGATTGACTTGCACATCCACTGGCGTGCAGGCAATTCACTTTAGAGACCACTTCTTTTGGTTACGGTTTTGAAAAGAGTTTTACCTTGA